AAAATTAAAACAATACATCAAATGAAACAATTTATTTTTCTTCATTATTCTAATGATGATTTACAACATTTATGATAATCTCGTATAAACAAATGCATTCTTACATTTCTAAAATTTACGATCTTTAATTATTTTAATATTAAAAAATAATATGCTCCGATCCCTGATCGTTGATCCCGTGATGCTATTAATTAATACGCTCGAATTTGTCCCCGTCAGTCCCGTGTTCTGTGGTGGGTACTGAAACAAAAAAAATACTGGCTAGTTAAAACTATAACTTTATCAGGAATCATACCCGCTATAATAAAACACTCTCTTTATAGTAATGATAAATAACTTACATTTGTTTACTTTCAAATTTTTGAGAAAGTATATTTTCATTTCCTGAAGGTTTGAAGAGTCAAAGACTTTGAAGATTTTATAGAGACTTCACAGATTTTGAAAAATAAAAAATTGCAATATGCTAATTTTCTAAATTATTAACTTTTAAAAATCCCTTTTTATTGCTCAAAAGTTGAGTATATGATTGATTATTTAGAAAGCTGAATAATGGAAATCTTCTTAGAAATTATACATTCCTAGAAGTGATAAAGCTTTATCTATTGCTAATTTTTGTCCAAACAAATTAAGACTTTATGTAGTGAGCATTATTACCTGCATGAAAAAATAAGTTAATTAAAGACCATTCATAATATTAGACACATATATATGTTTAATTAATGAAAGCAATAACAAAAAATTATTTCTTATTGTTATACTTGTATATTTTATAAAAAATGGATTAGTTATTAAAAATGAACCAACTATTATTACTATAAAACTTTTAACACAATCCATTATGATTATAAAGGTACTATAAAGCTTATGTATTTGAAAATGAAAGGAAACAAAATTCCTACATAAAATTTTTTCATAAGGTTCGCATCCTTATTTTTTTAGTTTAGGAAAAATTCTTTAGAAGTGAACCAATTAAACGTAAATGAGAATTTAATGTGTCAAATCATTCCGAAATGTATCCAGGAATTCGATCCTTATATGCATAAAACTTATGTTTGAAAACTAAGTAAATTAATTATATATTATAACATATTTAAAAATTCCTTGTAAACACTAAATAGATAACTGAAATCCTATGCAATTTTAAGCATGACATAAAATAAAATACCGCGCTAAATTTTCTAACAACGAGCATCACATGATAATTAACAAATATAATTTCAATATTGTCAGTATTACGACTATTACGTGTTTATAACAAGATTTCAAAGAAAACATTTGTATTACTGTAATGTTAAATATATTACTTTGATGTGACGATCATATTTTATATTAGACACAAAAGGTTTTATCATCATTCCTAAATATTATTGATCTTCGTTTAAGTTTGCTAAAATATAAAATTTATTTCGTATGTACTTAATAACTTTAATAGCCTTCGATTTCTAAACATAAATACTAGAAATTTCTTAATTATAATAAGCATTATCAATATTGTCCTAATCATTAAAAGTTAGAAATTTAATGTACCTCATATTTCTTTTAAAGTAGTACAGTACATAATATGAATAATAAAATAATAAATATAAAATACTAAATAATAAAAAATAAACCCTACTATTTAATAAATTATTTCCTTTTTGATTGTTCTGACTAATCATTTTCATTCTTAATTGATGACCTATAAAAGAATTTAAAAATATTAATAATTATTTTTTAATAAAAAAAGACTTAAATAACATACTTTGTAAAATCAATCATTACTGAATTATTATCACATTTTAAAAGATCTTTTGTATAAGGATTAAGTAAACGAGATGTATAATAAGCTTCTGGATGAGTAGTTAACTGGGTATTTTCAGTAGATAAAGGATTTGCCTTTCTATATTTTTCTGATTCATTAAATTGCTTTTTAATTTCCGTATCTCCATTATCATATTTATTATGGTATGAATTATGAAAAAGCTGAATAAACTCTTCCACTTTAGCAGCATTTGGTCTATTATTAGGATTTGGATCCCAACACTTTTTCATTAAGTCATTATAACATTTTGGTATTTCTGACTCATTTATTTCGGGTCTAATTCCATTACATATACTTGATGCTAGATATTGATCATGTGCATAATTGGAAAAAGGTTGTCTTTTGGTTGCCACAAAATACATGACCATACCAAAACTATATATGTCTGCCGCTTGAGTATAAGTATTTCCTCTTAATACTTCGGGAGCTACATAGGGCATAATTCCATAAATTTTTGTTTTATCTACATTACAAACTTCTCCACATAATCCCATATCTGAAATATATACAGTATGAGCACTACTACATAATATATTTCCTATATGAAAATCACGATGAACCATCTGATTTTCATGAATTTTTTTAAGTCCATTAATAATTCCAATTAATAGTTCCAATTTATCTGGCCAATGATAAATCTTATTAATGTACTCATTTAAGTTTCCTTCACTTGCATATTTAAGAACTAATATATAATTTCCTGTATCTGGATTTTGAGATATCCCATATATTGGAAGAATATGATTAGTATCAAAGTGTTCTTCAATCGAATATGATTTAGCCTATTAATATAGTAAAAAGGAAATTATTTATACATTAAAAAAAGATGATAAAGATTATGAATAAATTTTATACCTCATTTAAAAATTCATTAGTAATATTTTGTGAGTCATATAAGCATTTTAAAGCAACAGTTCGATTTAAATTTTTGTATCTTTCATATTTCTTTTCAGAAGCATTATAATGTAATATATTATCTTCCCATTTTGCTGAATATACTGTGGCAAACCCACCTGTTCCTATTTCCTCAATATTATCAAACTGGTTGTAAGGTATCCATTCAACTACTATATTATTAATACCATTAATCTTTAATTGCATTTCTTGAATGAAATTATCAATCTTTTCATTTTCACTGGTCCAGTTTACAAAATTTTCTTTTAAATTATTTATTTGACATGGTTTACACCACTTCTATTTTATATCTGTATATATTTCAACACATTTTTCACAATATCCATCTTGAAGCACTAAAATATAATCATTTGTACTTGGATTTTGAGATATGCCATATATTGAAGGAAGATTATCAGAATATTTAATTGAATATGATTTAGCCTATTAATAAAAAAATATTAATACACATTAATAAAAAGCATTTTAATTATGAAAACCATATACCTCACTTAAAATTTCATTTGTAATATTTTGTGAATTATATATGCATTTTAAAATAACTCTTTTATTATTAGTTCTTATATATCCCTTTATAAATATAGCATCATCAAATTCCAATGGACCATCCTTCCATATTGCTAAATGTAATGTTCCAAACCCATCTTTTCTTATTTCTTTAATATATTCAAACTGATGGTATGGCACCCATTCAACTACTGTGTCATTATAATTATCAATTTGTAATTGCATTTCTTGAGTATAATTATCAATTTTCTCATTTCCACTGGTCCAATTTTCAAAAAATTCTTTTAAATCATTTATTTGACATAATTTACACCATCCATATTCTGGATTTGTATACTGGTTACCACAATTTTGACAAAATCTATTTACAGAAACTATAATATAATCATTTGTATCTGGATTTTGAGATATTCCACATTTATTAGAATATGATTCAACCTGTTATACATAAAAAATATCATTATATTATTATATTGAAATATTAAGTTGAATTTACATAAAAATCTTATACCTTATTTAAAAATTCATCAGTATTATTTTGTGAATTATATAAATGTTTTAAAGAAACTTCAACATTGTCCTTCCATGTAGCTAAATGTAATGTTCCGAATTCATCTTTGCTTATTTGCTTAATATCATTAAACTGATTATATGGTATCCATTCAAATATTTTTCTACTAACCCAACCCATTTTTAATTGCATTTCTTGATGAATAAAATTATCGATTTTCTCATTTCCACTAGTCCAGTTCACAAAATTTTCTTTCAAATCATTTATTTGACATAATTTACATAACTTATTTTTCGGTTCACTACTATATGATATATATAGTATTTCACCACATCTTTTACAATATACTTCTTGAAGTACCATAATATAATCTTTTGTATTTGGATTTTGAGATATACCATATATTTTAATATTATATTTATTAAGGTAATATGACTTAACCTTATTAAATATAAAAAAATTATTAATACATTAAATATATACAAATATTGAATTATATAAAATTAGCATACCTCATTCAAGAATTCATCAATAATATTTTGAGAGTTATATATACATTTTAAAATAACCTTCTTATTATTAATTCTTATATATAAATTTTTATATTTATTATATTTTAATTGGCCATCTTTCCATAATGCTAAATGTAACATTTCAAATCCATTATTTTCAATTTTATTAATCTCATCAAATTGATCATACTATGGTATCCATTCAAGTACTATATCATAACAATGATCAATTTTTAATTGCATTTCTTGAATAAAATTATCAATTTTCTCATTCCCACTTTTTATACAAGCTTTTTTCAATTCATTCATTTGACATGGTTTACACCATTTATGACATATTTGTGTATATTGATTACCACATTTTTTACAATATCCATCTTCAAAAACCATGATATAATCTTTTGTATCTGGATCTTGAGATATTCCATATATTTTAAGGGCATCACCAGAAAATTTTTTAATTGAGTATGAATTTATCTATTAGTTAAATATAGTAAGAAAATTATATTAAAAAAAAAAATATTTAAAAAGAAGCTTCATACCTCATCATTTAAAAATTGATTATCAATATTTTGTAGATATTTTAAAGTAACCTTCTTATAATTATTATATGATTTCCGCTTATATGTCTCTTTATTGCCTTTATAATATAATGGACCATCCTTCCATATTGCTAAATAAATTGTAACAAAACCATCATTTTTTATTTTTTCAATATTATCAAATTGATTAAATGGTATCCATTCAAATATTATATCTTCACATCCATCAATCTTTAATTGCATTTTTTGAACAATATTATCTATTTCTTCGCTTCCACTTTTTATACAAACTTTGTTCAATTCATTTATTGAACATTGTTTACACCAATTAAGTTTCTTATAATGCACGTACTCATATATATATTTATCACCACATTTTTTACAACATGCACCTTTAATAACAATAATATAATCCTTTGTATTTGGATTTTGAGATATTCCATATATTTTAAAAAAAATTTCACATATATTAAAGGAATCAGTAGGAATAATAGAGCATATTTTAATCTATTAAATAAACAAATTTATTAGTCAAAAAAAATTTAAATTAAATTTAAACAAAAGATTCATACCTCATTTGAAAATTCATCAATGATATTTTGTGAGTTGGATAAAAATTTTAAAGCTACTTTTATATTATTAATTCTTGTATATTCCTTTTTATAATGATCATATTCTAATGGACCACTTTTCCATACTGCTAAATATACTGTAACAAAATCACTTTTATCTATTTCTTTTATTATATCAAACTGATTATATGGTATCCATTCAAATATTATATTATGATACCTATTAATATCTAATTGTATTGTTTGAATAAAATTATCAATTTTTTCATTTTCACTAGTCCAGTTTCCTAAATTTTCTTTTAAATTAATTATTTGACAAGGTTTACACCACTTCTTTTTTATATCTGTATATATTTCACCACACTTTTCACAATATCCATCATAAAGAACCATGATATAATCTTTTGTTTCTATATTTTGGGATATTCCATATATATAAGGAATATCAATACCATATCTTTTAATTGAAAATGACTTAACCTATTAAATATAGTAAGAAAATTATTATTATACTAAAAAAAAAAGCATTTAAAAAAGAAATTTCATACCTCATTTAAAAGTTCATTGGTAATATTTTGTGAATTATACAAATATTTTAAAGTAACTTTTTTATTTGGACATGTTTTTTTATATATCTGTTCATATTCATCATAATATAATGGACCATCTTTCCATATTGCAAAATTTACTGTAGCTTTACCTATTTCTTTAATAATTTCAAGCTGATCATATGGTATCCATTCAAATACTGTATCATTATAATAACTAATTTTTAATTGCATTTCTTGAACAAGATTATCAATTTTTTCATTTTCACTAGTCCAGTTTCTAAAATTTTCTTTCAAATTATTTATTTGACATGGACCACACCATTCATGGTGACATGCCTTGTCACATTTTTTACATAGATTTATATTTTCATCATACATACTTGAATAATTTTTTTTTAAATTTTGAAGAAAAGTGCGTTAAAATTTTAAATTAGTGATCAGCATACTAGGGTTACATTACTTACATATAATTTTGTAATACGTTTGACATTATTTTACCACAAAGCACAATGGTTTAGTTATGCTGTACACGACACAACAGTAATACAAAACTTTATTATTATAAATATTTGTTAGTAATGAGTAAGGTAGGACCCGAAATATATATATATAGAAGCCAGTAGTATTCCGTTGCACGCCAGGCCAGAATTAAGATAATGTCAGTCAGTATCTAAAAAAGGTAATAAAATATTGATCGCATTATCCATAATGATAGGCAAGATCTACATGATTATTTTCTTGACCTTTTTATGCATCTTGTTAAGGTATTACGGTAGTTTTACAATATTATATTATGGTTCATGATTATGACCAAAGAATATAATAGGTTTTGTGCATTTTTTATATCATAAAATTGAAAACTTTTCTCATTTTTTTTTAATGTAAACCGTTGCTTAAAGAAAATTTTACACGCGGATTAATATATAATGCGAGGGTATTACACAATTTAATTTAATTTGTACGAGCTCTATAATTCCTTGAATTTTGTAAAATCAATAATTTTTACAACTTCTACATGAAACAATTTGATAACATCTAATATAGATATTGGCTCAAAATAATATGTCTTGCGAACCTTAATAATGTTCTCCTGTTTTGATCATCATTTTGATTTTTATGTATGTACATAATATTTTTGCATTCAAGTGAAAAAAAAAGCGTCAGAATTCAAATCCATATAATAAATTTGATATATAAGCAATGTGAATTTTGCGGATTTTATACTACATTAGAATGCAAAATTATTTTAACAAGAAGTGCAGACATTTAATTCGTATTTCAAGTTGCGCCATATTCGTGTTACATCGTTAACGTAAATTCATACGACTTGATGTATCTTTATATATTAAAAAAATAAATTTAATTTTCTTTTATTGTGCTTACTACTCTTTTAATTAACAGACAGTATCTACTATTCTAATCTATTTATACGTTATTAACTGAATTAAATCCATATTATTATCATCTCTATTAGAATTAGTTTAATATTTATATTTGCTTCTAATGAAGCAAGAGGAAGATTAGGGGCTACGTTTGCGTATTCTTATCATTATGGTACTGTAGTACGTAAAAAATTAAAACTTGAAAATAAACAAGCGTACTGTATGTGTACTAAGTCTACAATATAAAAGTATTTCATGTCAAAAGTTTAAAAATCTAAGGCATTTTTAATCAAGTTGTATAAATATATCTAATAAAGAATTATATATATTTTTTGAATGTGCACAAAATTATTTGCTAACCACTTTAAATGATCGGAAAATTTACTTGTAGCATATCCATTTTTTAACGATCTGCATAACGTCAAACTTATTATTTTTGATTCGATAACGATAACTAATTTTAAAGAAAGAAATTCAAAAATAAATAAATAAATAAATAAAATTAATAATTCTCTATATAAGGCACAGTAAATTTTATTTTTATCCACATAATAAACTATGAGTTATTACTAGTAATTATATTCCTTTAATTTTCTTATTATTATTTGTAATTTATTTTTTTGGCAACAAGCATTTCTTATTAAATATTAGCCTTTCATGGATTATCTATTAAGTTAATAAATTTTACTTACTGTTGTTTGTAGATAAAAAATTTTTTAGCTTCTTTCTTTTTGGAAGTCAACTTTGTTAACGATATCAATAATATCAATATTTTTTTTTTTATTCTATTAAAGTTCAAAAATTAACCTTTTTCGTTACATATGGTGCAATTACTGTAAAAGAAACTTAAAATTAGCTAAGATAAGTTGGTGTTTTGGCACACTCTAATCCGAAGTCCTTTAATCGATTCAACCTAGAGCGGATTTGGGCGAAAAATTTAAAATTTACTGCGTAAAATGAGATTATAAACTTTTTTTTTCCGCCATATTACAAACGTTTACAACTCTGTTTCAAAGAATAATTTAAGAGCCGAAGTTACATATGTAATATATTAAGCAAATTTTCTTTTGACAATTAGACTTGGCATGCATTTGTCATACATGATCAACATATGTATTGCCTATATATATACCCAAGGCGTTTAATTGGAAAAAATATTTACATCATCTTTTCATTTAAAGAGAGTTTTAGTATATTATATAGTAATGGCTCATAGTAACGATAAAGGTAAAATAACATATAACATGAATATTTAATATAAAATAAAATTATTCTAAAATTTTTAATCAAATCAATCGAATTGCAATAAGTTTCAAGTGGCACCAAGGAATCTGAAGGTAAATATAATATATTTACAAGCTAAATTTATGTAATAGCGTAATATTAACATATTAAATAATTTAGCTCGTAAGTTAATAGGTTAAATAATAATAGTATTACTTATTTATGTTATATTCCATATAACTAAATAATTCATTTAATGATTCATAATACTATAGTTAGTAAGTTATCAGCTGTTTCCTTTACTTTATTTTACATGATATTCAAATAATTAATTTTTGTATAAATAACTACTTAATAATTAATTATACTATAGATGATAAGTTACAATATTTAATAAATTATTATATTGATTTGTTTAACGCTAATATTTTATTTTTTTAAATGATTAAGCTGTAAGTGATATATTTCCATTTAATCGGATTATACTCTAGTAAGTTATAAGTTATTTACTAAATTTATTGTTGCATATTCACATAATATTTACATAATGTAAGTTAAAAGTAATCTATCATTACATATGAAATAATTTATTAATCGCACGTGCGATTTCATCGGCTACCCTTTGTCACCTGTGTCGCACCCTTGGTAATTTATTTTAGCTGGTAAATTACAAGCTATTTATTTCATTCTATTATTACATATTTATATAACATTTTTATATAATTGATAACTAAATTCTTTATTTAAAAATTATTTGATAATTTATTTTAGAACGTAAGTTATAAGTTATTTCTTTAATTTATTATTACATAATATTTACATATATTTAAACTAATTAAATTTTTTATTTAAAAAATTATTTGGTAATTTATTTTAGACCGTCGTAAGTAATATAGTTATTTATTTAATTCTAGTATTATATAATTTTAACTACTAATTAAATCCTTTATTTAAAAGATGAATTACTTAGTAATATAGCTCGTAAGGTTATTTTTGTGTATATATAATTATATATTATACAAAAACTAAGGTTATATTTTATTAAATCCTATTTAAGAGTAAGTATTGATATTAGTTTTTCTTTTAAAAAAAATCTTAAATTTTGATATAAATTTTAATATAAACTTAATTTATATATAGATTTGGAAAAAGTGGAAATGAAACTATGGATGAATTTATTTCTGAAAAACAATTAAAATGGATTCCTTATAATAAATTGAAAAATGTTGAATTTCTTAATGAAGGAAAATATAATACTATATACAAAGCTATTTAGTTAAATAATGATGGAGACAGGGAAGTAATTCTTCAATGCCACAATAATTTAAATGAAGATTTAAATGAATTTTTAAATGAAGTATGATAGTATAATACTTATTTTTTAATTTAAATTATAATTTATTTATACTAACACATTTATTATTTTTTTTTTATAGTGGGAATACCATGAAAGTTGTTTATATTCATATGATATTATTGATTTTTATGGATTTACAAAAGTTCCAAATACTTCGAATTATATGGTAGTAATGGATTATGCAAACAAAGGTAATTTGAGAGTAAATTTACCAAAAATTATCATAAATGATTGAAATCAAAAATTACAAATGTTATATGAAATTATTTCTGGGCTTAATAATATGCATAAAAAAAATCTTATTCATTGTAATCTTCATGATGGCAATATTTTAAATCATGGGGGTAGGTATGAAGGTAAAGTTTATATTAGTGATTTTAGACTATGTCAACCTGTAAGCTTATTTTTGAAAAAAAATGATATTCGTGGTGTTATACCATTTATGGCACCTTAAGTTTTAAAAGGCAATTCTTATACTCCGGCTAGTGATATTTATAGTTTTTCTATGATTATGTGGGAATTTACATCTGGAGTACCACCATTTAATAATAGAGCACATGATCTTCAACTTAGCTTAAGTATATGTAAAGGGGAACGTCCTGAAATTATTGAAAATACTCCCCAATGTTTAGATTTGATGAAAAAGTGTTGGAATGAAGATTCATTAAAAAGACCATCTTCTGATGAAGTTTTTGATATTATTGAAAAATGGATTATTCTTCCTAATGGAAAGAAAGCTGAAGATACTGATGATGAATTAAAATGCAATGTTATGGAATTTATAAATGCACCAATTGGGCATAATAATTTTGCTACTAAATCTCATTCACAAGCATATTATACAAATCGTTTACATAATTTTACTAGTAAAGAATTGAATGAAATTCTTGAAAGTGATCTTAGTTTGTAATTTGAATAATTCCTTTCTTTCAAATATCAAATATATATATATATATATATTTCTTTTTAGGTTTTTATTTTCTACGCACCTGCATAAATTGTAGGGTGCATATATTATATATAAAATTTTCGATTTTTGAATATTTTACGCACTGGTAAAAAAATTTAAATAAATTTTCTAAAAATAAAACAATGCATATGTATTTCTGTACGCATCCCTTCTATTACATAAAAAAATTATTTTTTCTATTAATTAAATTATATGCCGAAAAAGTATCAAAGATAAGCTCATACTATTAAAATACTATTAAATGCAAACAGGCGACCGAAGGGAGCCGGGCTCAAATCACTACTGTAATTCAAGCCGCTGCAGCGGCTTGAATTACAGTAGTGATTTGAGCCATTAAATTACAATGATGTTTTCCTTTTCTTTCCTTTTTGATTGATTATTATAAACTCCTTCACAAAAACATACAATTGTTTGTTTTCTTAATTTAGATTCTATTTTTTTCTGATCTTCCTTTGCGTATGCCAAAGCCCTGTTGATGAGCTTATTGCTTGATGTGGTTAAATGCAATCTTCCAGGTGAGAAAAGCCATCCCAACTTCCAATTTCAGAGTTTCATTGGAGGAACCACCATTATCTTCACCATCAGAGTCACTGTCATTAGGAATATTTTCAATAAAATCATTATCAAAAGCCTCATCGAAAATTTCATCATCGCTTGACATAAATTCGGAGTCACTCATTTTAGTTGTAATAAAATTTATAAGTGGGAGAAAGAGGTTGAGAGGAGAGACTAGAGAAGAAGAGGGGAGATAGGAAGAGAGGAAGAGAGGGGAAGAGGAAAGATGATAATCGTTGGGAAAAAAAGTATAATATAATTTAAACACGTGATCATGTGAAATAAAAAAGTCTAAATTTAGACGCGTATCAAAAAAAGCTGCGCATGAGACAATTATGATGTATTTATTAAATAATTTAAATACCCATGTATATCAGAATTACTATGCATGGGATGCAATTTATGCATCCCGCATAAAAGTCAAATTCCTTTTCTTTTTTTACTTTGTTTAGAATTATTTAAACACTAAGGCTAGAATAGTAAATATTTTACAAGTTTAATTTAAATAAATCTTTTTTTTTTGTAACTTATAAATTATTTTAATTTCATATATATTTAATATTGTTTATATGATGATTTATATTTAATAAATTTAATAATATATTGGATAACTTTTTATATGCAGATGATAGATGACATTAAAATAATTAGAATTTCATTAAGCTCAAAAATTTAAAAAATATTCTCATAAATAATGATATAAAAAACTGATATTTAAACCATAAGAGTTTATTATTATAACTTCAGATCACTGAATAAAAAATCAAATTAATATTTTTTTGTTTATTTGAATTAATAAATACCACTCTCCTATACTAAACATATGAGTAAAGAAAAATTTAATATTTTTTTTATATTAACCAATTAATTAATCAGTTATAATCAGTTAAGATTATTAATATCATTATTGAATCAACCTCTAATTTTTAGTACATAAATTTTATTTTCAGCAATATTAAAACTTACAGATTCAAATGTACACTAGTTACATGCATTACGATGATTGCACGTTTTTTTATTATTTTTTTGAAACTTTTTTTTTCCACCTTTCCACCTTGCGTGACCAATTGGAAAATTGACAAATTTATTTTATCTTTTTCATCTTTTTTATCTTACTGTTACCAAACTATGGTTTTAAATTATCGGAGTAATGATTTTACAATTATTAATTATTATATTTAATTATTTCATTTATTTAATTAGCAGATAAATCATTTTTTGTTCATACTTTTATTTTACTATGTAAGGCAAATTGGCAAATTTCAATGTAAATGTGAACTTAGTGTAATATGTAACTTAAATAATTGCTTTATAATATCAATATATTTTTCGCCAACTATAATACTGTTCAAAATAAAACTTTTTTATCGTGATAATTGATATAGGTCGTACCATCAATAGGATACACCTCTTTCGAAATCTCTTTCTTCACCCACAAATATTACGTGGTCATTATCATTTTTTGCAAATATAAAACCCGTACCAAGAAATCTGACTTTAAACCCTTCGCTACTAATTTCAGTTCCTCAAATGATCCACTTTTCATAGCTTGAAATTGTCTGCGGAAAAATTCTTTCTATACTAATAGGTTCGTCCCTACTTATTTTAACAGAGAAAGCGTTCACGATTGTATTACCTTTGATGAGATAGAATAAAGTACATAGCGCAAAGTGAAATTATTTGCAAAAAAATACTGTACTTATGTGAGAATTTCTCCTGTATCACACGAGACCTGTTGTGTGATCATATTTATTTGTATAGAACCCATACAAAAGTAAGCCTTGAACACATTCAGTTACGATCAGTTAACTCCTTATTTACTCTTTATTTATCACATATTTGCTAAGATAATTAAAAAATTCGAACAAATGGATGTACTTAAAGATCAAGTTTAATTCAAATCAATTGAAACTTTGCCAGTGAGTACGAACTCATTATTATTCTTAAATTAATATCTTTATCCTTTTAAAATCTTTCACAAGCAAAGCAATACTACTATAACTTATCGTTCTTCACAATTTCTTAGCGTTTTATTACGAGTTTGAGTCCGATATGTGTCTTTAAAAAAGGTAGATCGGTACTAATAAATTTTCTATTTGTTTTATTTGGTAACCGTTCCATAAGAGATCATTAGAAATTGTGAAACAAATAAAATATACTGTAAAGATTTTCTTTTTTATCTGCTTTATGTTTATATACAATATTAAAATTAACATTAAACATTCTTCCCAAAAGTTTGGTGAAGCCATTAACTTGCATTGCAAAGAAACCCGAAATACATCAGAACTAATTAAATAACAAATTGATAAAAATTTTAATCTAGTTGCAGATTTTAAATTACGATAAATATTATTTTGTACTGTACATTCAAAATATCAGCATTGATGGAAACTTATATGACTTTCCGGAGTTCTATCGATCCGTAATCAATATATATTTTTCCTTATCATGTAATAAAATATTGAAGAAACTGAAATTTTTATCTTGACTTCAATATTCGTCCTACTCCAATTCAGAAATTTCATAATGCAGATTTATCTCATATGTTCAGAGATAAGGAAAAAATGAATTGATATATGCCCTACAAAATTTACAAAATTTTTTAGTCACTATCACCTCATACCATATGAGGTTTACCACCCTGTTAATTATGCCTAAGCAGGGAACTTCAGGACACCTATGTGGCCATCATAGGATTTATGACAATCTCATATAGTATTCAATAACAACAACTAAGTAAGTGATTTGATGACATAGAAATATGTGTCATTTCCACGGGCACCACGGCCTGCCCTCCCATATGGATCGGCTTGGGGATCACCTATGTGGCCTCATTGTAGCTACGACTTGTGCACAAAGCAGCAGATGACTACATAGCCAGTAGCAAATGGTACGTACTACGAGCACATAAACCTCTATGTCAATCATAACAGTCCACCATCCGGAAGACTTTCTGCGATCCCTTCTCCGGTGAACACGTACTCGTCGTCCATCCGGCAAACTGTTATTTATACTTACCATTTAATGATATGACCTAGTCGTTTAGTGTTAGTTTGTCCTCTGTCACAAATAGATACCAAATTTGGCATTATCTTGATCTTAAATACCGTTTCAGTTGATCTGCCTAAAAAATTGAAAGAATCAAATGTGTGATAGACAGGAGAAAACATGTAAAAAAGAACCACAAAAGTGTCTAAACTGTCAGGAGTAGTTGGAGTGGTTTTTCACTTACAAAACAAGTTTCCAATAGCTAGTGAAACTCGTTACCCATATGTTGTCCAAAGGAAGTTCCACCAGTAAATACAGTTCTTGATGTTGATATATATTTTTTTCCGCCTAAATATTTATTTGCGCGTGAAAAAAAGTATTTACTTGCGCGTGAAAAAAAAGTATTTACTTACGCGTAAAAAAAAAGGTATTTATTTGCGCGTGAAAATATTTGCGAATTTACGCGTGAAAAAAAGTTATTTATTAGATATTTATTTGAAAAGAAAATATTTATAAAAAAGTATTTAGTTGTGTCTGAAGGAGGAGTGAAAGAGATGGGTGTATAAAAAAAAAAAAAGAAAGACTGTATAAATATTATTTTTTTGTTGTACAAGCTTTCATATAGGTATAAATGATATCAATACACAACATACACAACAATATATATTATAGCTTTTAATTACTTAATCATGACGTATTTACCTTCTTTTAGTATGATTCGTCAAAGTTTTTTAGATATAATTTGCAACTTTATCTATAGATAAAATTACAAAGATTAAACCAAGGAAGATTATATTAGTTAGTTGAGCCTTCGCAACATCCAGATTATTTTATATTAAAAAAATAGATAAAAGTCAACTACTTATAATGGTAATTTAATAGAGTTTAACTCCACTTAATGATAATAAGCTTTTAGAATCTCATCTTAGTATTGTACCAAATCGAGAAGGATATTATTTAACAAATATATGTTTAATATGCTATGATTATATTTGGAATGATCCATTTCGTAATGTTTGTATTTTGTAAGCATAATCATATAGCAAAAATTTAAAAATTTATCAAATAATCACAAATAAATAATTTATTATATCAACAAGTGAAAGCTGATTTAGTAAATTACGGTATTTCATAAGCATAGAGTATTTCTGGCAGAAAAGAAAAAATGAATTAATTAATTTACAATGGTGATATAGAAACAACATTTGAAGAGATCATAAAAATATTTGAAATTCAAGGTAAATTGCTTCTTAGTTATTTGTTAATACTATTATAAAAAGGTGAGCAATTTTCAAGTTAATAGAATACAATCAGATATTAATAATGATCCTTTTGCCAAATAATCATGGAACAACAAGCTTTGGAGTACCACCTAAACCTACAGAAAACCTTCAAGAATTCTTCAAGCAGTTCAACAAAATACTCAAGAAACAAGCTCATCTACATCTGAAAAATGAACTACAAAAAGAATAAGAAAAAATATTCAAACCGCTAAAGTATAATTTAATAATATTATTATTTATTTATCATAATTACTGCTATATTAATGAAATTTTATATTTATTTACTGTAACCAAAAAACAAAATATTAGTAAAAATCCTATCAAAATGAATTTTATTCTAATATGATAGATTTTCCCATGCAAGGATTGCAAAATCCTCTCACATTATCATCCTTTACTCCTCAATCTTTTACTTCTCAGTCTATTACCCCTCATTTTTACGCACACCCTACAGACTCTTTTACTAGTATTCATCCTTCACCTTCTAATTACGAATATACTTCTTATTCATTACCGTAAATTCACACTTTCGTATTCACATTTGCCTAATGGGAAAGAACAGCAGTTTGACGCTCCTTCAGATAACTATACGCTGTAAAATGTAGTTTTCGGTTGTTCATCCGTTAATACTGCATGAACTAATTTAGAAGAAAAACCCCCATTTTTTAAAAGAAAAATAATGATGATAGCATAACTGGCGAGAAAATATATAACATTTTTACTTACAAGAATCAGGTCATTCGGATTTTGTACAATGATCATATTCATCAAGTATAAACGTCTTAGTGCCTATTCTTATAAATACTACCTAGTAAAAAAAAAATAATATTTATTTATTTAAAAGAATTTATTGCATGTTGATTTAAATAAAATAAAACCTACAGGCTCATCATAATATGCACTAACGATCGAGGGGTCAAAACGGATAATAACTTGAACATCCAAAAAATAAATAATAAAATTTTTTTGAGACATTCTTTTTTAAAACAAGGAAATGGTTCGAAAGTATTGTAAATAATTTTAAATGGATGTGCATTATATATAGATAGTTCGTACTTTATTGACGGATGTACTTTGCTTTGTTTTATATTATCCATGTATTTTCATGTGTCAAACCAAAGATTATAATATTGAGCCGTACTATACAATTTTACAGATCTTTTTGGATATAATGATCAATAATTCTTCATGTAAATTAATACTATTATCTTATGCCTAGTTATCATAGTAATATGAATATATGAATAAATACAAATAAGAGTTTTTTAAAAATACTCATTGTTTAAATTCAGATAATTGGTATTCTTTTTAAAATGCCAGACAAGAAGTCAAGAACAATAAACGTAAATATTCAAATATAATATTATGTCAACTTAATGTACTAAAAAAATCAATAATAGTTAGATTCAAATAACTAATCTCTTTGCATAAAATCGTAAGTTTAACATTGTAATACTAAAATAATAATAAAATCAATCAATGATCGATCAATTTTAAACCAAATATCCTTTTTTTTGTTTGATCGAGCTACAAAATCAATTAAGGAATCGATTTCATGTGATCCTTGTGAGTAACTTTTTGAGAATACCTAACCAAATTTATCATACAAACACTTGTTATATTACAATGACGCAATGATCTCTGTGGTAGCTGCCAAATTGCAAATGATCCATGCACATGATCTGTGTGTTAATTATTATAGCTATTATTACCTATGAAAGTGTAGATACACAAACTCATATTAACTAAATTTACGTAAAAAATGTATAAAACAAATACACAAGCCTACAATAAATTACCAGATTTCTTTAAAAATGCTTGTTAATTCTCATATTGTAAAGTTTCTAACAAAATCACCCAATTTTTTTTTTATTTGAAAGCTAATTCATTATAGATTTTAAATTTTAAATAAATAAAGGATATTTTAAAGCATGAAAAAAAAATAGTCTACTTGTTAATTATGTCAACTTTTAGAATTATTTTGTATATTTATTTGCGTATAGATAACTTTTAGGATTTTAAACATATTACATTTTTAATTGCATTTTTAAAAACTACAGTTGGTTAACTTTCAAATAAGAAAAAAAGGTTGAGTGATTTCATTTGAAATTTATAAATTTTTATGTAATGTGAAAATTACTAAGGATTTTTAAAGAAATCCGGTAATTTATTGTAGGCTTGGGTGTAAGTATATTATATAATTAAACCCGGAAAATTTTTGGACGTCAACTAAAAAATTCTTGTTAAACTATTTTTGATAATTATATTTCGATCGTGAAATGCATTTCTTCAACAAAAAAAAGGGGGAATTATCTTATGTATTTTTTAATTTTATTATTTAATATCACAAACTATTAAGGTACTACATTTTGCTTACTTTTGCTATAATAGATTGCGTATTTTATTTATCATCAATATTATGATTATTAATTTAATTTCTCTAAATAGTTTGTTCTTATACATTACAAATTTTATTAACCATGTTACATTGATATTATAATCAAAGAAGATTCGGCAAAAATTTAAAATGAAACCTGTTTCTATAGAAAATGTCATTGAATTTGACATAGCTCAGTATATCTTACCATGCGGTATGGCCTCGCCATTGGACAAGCTTCAGCCCAAATTCCAAAGTACAGGTGCGCAATGTTAAAAAGTGTTGGGAAGAACTAAAGAAACTAAACTTGTATCCCTTTACAATGGTGCCGTTTTGAAGTATTTCTTTGTTTATCTAATGTTAGATGTTTTGCTAGTTGTTTTCAAGAGACCATTCATGATATTAGGCACATTTGTTTAATCAGTGAAAACAGTAATAAAAATTACAGAAGATTATTTCTTATTGTCATACTGCATATTTTATAACTTACAAAAAAAAAAAAAATTATATTATTATAAAGCTTACTATACATTTGAAAATGAAAGGAAATCAAAAAAGCTAAATTTCTCTATAAATTTTTTATGAAGTTTTCATAGGTTTAGGAGCAGATTAGTTAAATAGCATGTAATAACTTTAAGGTTGTATTTATGGGTATAGTAATTACTAGTAGGTAAACTTATTATAGAAGTGAATTAATTAAACGTAAATAAGAATTTAATGCGATCAAATCATTCCTATGAATTTAAAACTTATATGCATAAAACTTATGAAATTTTTCTAAAATCTGGTAAACCAATTATTATACTATATTATACCATTCCTTGTAAATAACTGAAATACTATACAATTTTGGGCATGATATAAAATTGAATACCGTGCCAAACTTTCTATCAATGAGCGTCAAATGATTAACAGAGATAATTAAAACACAAAGAATAATAGGTCGTTAATAATCGTCATTGAAATAGTTTTACGTGTAAATAACAAAAAATAAAAAAATATCAAATGAAGACCTCAATAAAATAATATATTAAATACATTGATGGAAAGATCAAATTTATTTACTTTAGACAGAAGATTTTATTATCAATAATTAGGATAATATTGATAATGTTTATAGAAATAAGAAATTCTTCATATTAGAAATAAAGTTAGGAATTTAAATATGATTCATATTTTATTCTATTATTATAATTATTTTTTTTTAGTAACAGTACATAAAATGAATAAAAAAAAAATACAAATAAGGAATACTAATAATAAGAAACTTTGCAGAAACCCGTGATTTGTTACCATGTAGTTAAGAAATCGCCATCAAATCACAACGATCTATTATCCAACATGTGACGATGTGGTACCAAACGATCTCGTGAAATTGACTATTGTAACACCTGAGCCCATAGAGAATTATGTTTGCCACCTCAGGTATTAACAAAATGACTCTTTATTAATAATATAAATAAATACAATAATATGCTTGGTTTAATAACATTAAATAACAAAATAAATAATTCATAACAAAATTCGTCCAATTTCTCTCCTTTTCCAAAAGTTGATCTTCACGCCCTTTTATGCTTGTTTTTGTGTAACTAAATTCATAATTTCGATTCATGGATTTAAATTATTAAAGTATTTCCATTATTTTAAAGTATTTCCATTATCTTAAAGTATTTCCATTATCTTAATTTTGTATCCATTTGATCATCATGAACTCCTGAATTATGATTTATAATATTAACGTAGTGATCAACAAATTAATCACTTGACACCTCAGATCACTTGATTTCATCCAATTTAGTATCTTTCGGATCTTCATTTATCCTTAAATCTCGTGACTAATAGTTTAAGGTCATCACGGACCAATTATCCTTGATTCTCATGACTAATAGTTTAACGACTTTTCGGTCCAATTAAAATAAAAATAAAAATAAGTTAAAATTTTATACACTAAGACTAAATGTAATACTGCGCCTCACAATTAATAAATTTACTAGATATACTACGGCATTACAACTATCCCCCGCATAAAAATTTAATGCCCACATTAAATTTATTCTAAGAATCGAACTCGTGTCTCGAAGTGGTAGGTGCGAATTATACCACTAAATCAAGCATGCATTGTCACTTGACTCAGCTGCGTTTTAAATATTC